GGTGTGAGAAATGTCAGTAAAAATGAGCCAGCAAGTTATACATCAGCTCTTTATTTTGACGGTTATGTTTGAATCCGTTCATTTATACAGTTAAGTGCTTCCGCTTTTAAGTATTTGTTAAAGTAAACAAAGTCCCCATGGAATAATAACTAATAAACATTTTGAAACACTACACACTCTATAGGCGTTAAAGGGTAAAGATTCCTTATAGTCCTCTAAAAGGAGAAAGAGTTATGCAAATATGACAATATTAACTTGCTTACTTACTTTTTAACGCAACTTTTATTTCGTTTTGCGCACCGTCGCCACTTCCGGGAGCTTAAGAACAAAGTATCTCCATTGCTACCGTGACAATGTTTGCGACTTATTTGTTCGACACAGTTTATTTATACATTTTTCATGCAGCCGAGCGTCTTGATACCGCCGATGGATTTTTATTAAGAGCTTTATTTCATGTCGGAGATACACTCGGAGAGCTTCACATTCTCTGCCGGGGGGCGACCGCAATTAAAAAAAAATGTCTAACCAGGACTCAAACCTTTGTTTTCAGAATGGCAAATCAATTTGAGTTGTACATAATTTAATTCTATGTCTTCAGCATACCTAATTTAATTCCTTAATGTATGGTGTGTGGAGTGGGGGCGAAGATTTCACAGCACTGCCATTTTCGTTCAACCTGAACTATTTAATTGAATCGTTGATATCATTAAATTAAATATAATTTAATATATTTTTGGGCACTTATTTTGTTACTTTATCACTCATATTATTATAATTTTAAATCAATAATAGTTTGTTGATAAAAGTTCAATCACAAACAGCTGTTTTTCATACTTGCTAGGTTTTGTAAAATTCAATAATAATTCTAACTGCCCATCAAGTCACATTTTCAGGGTATTTTATTGGAAAAATTGCCAAAAGTGCTTTTTAATGTAAACAAAGTGAAACCAAAAACATGGGACCATTGTGATACCGTGCCTTCACCTTCTCAGATGATCATAAAGGCAACGAGATTTCCAATATTCGCTGAGGCTATCTCAGCGGGACAAACGAGGAAATGTTTCCCAAGAAATTTGTATCGCGCTCATGTCAAGGCTGGACAGTGGCTCGATGGTCTCCTCCTCTCCTTCGTCCCTGCAGCTGCGGCAGAAATCATTAGAATGATATCCCATTCTTTTCCCGTGAAGCCGCATTAAGCAGTATCCAGTTTATGCCCGTCGTTATGTTAATGGAGAACCGGTCTACAAGGAAAAGATGTTTGGATTTTTTCGCGTCCAGCTCTTTGGTCACGTTACACGTGATCTCGTTCAGTCATTTTGAGTCAGCTTCTCTGATAAAAGCAAGTTTTACGCATGTGCTTTGTCATGGTTAGAGGTAAACCAGCATCGTGTGTATGCTTTGTCTTGGGTAGAAGGGTTCCTTGGATGCCTGTACCAGTGTCCAGGTAGCCAGACAACGGCAGTGCTATATTTAGTAGAGAGTTTGTTGAGAAAGTTACTGCATTTTATGGCTACTTTTGACTTGGTGCCATTACATTGGAGAGATTTGATTGCAGCTTGACTGTCGGAGTATATTGTAACCGATTGTCTTGCTGCCATAGATTTATGCAAGCAATCAGCAGCCTCCATGATTGCAAATAGTTCCGCCCAAAAAACGCTACAGTGGTCTGGTAGTCTCATGCTCATATTTAATGAAAGAATGGGAGACTAAATTTCGCATCTCACTTTCTCATCAAGCTTCGAGCCATCTGTTAAGATGGCCATGGCTTCCTAGTCGGGAGCGTTGGTAGTTTCCCACTCGCACCTTTTGGGCATTCTCGACGACGATTTTTGATCGCCGCCGATCGTTGAACTCTCTCTAGTTTGATCCTGAAAGTAATTTTACCGAGTGCCGGCCACCAAACGGTGACGCCGTAGGATTGGTTTAACAACCGGTGTATAAATCCAGCCCACGATACCCGGTCTTATACCCCATCTTTTTTCCTATCGCCGTTTTGCAGGCGTAAAGTGCACTTATAGCTTTGTGACTTCCGGTAAAAAAAACTATTTCGGTTTTATCTGTGTTGGCGTTCATTCGCTCTCCTTGGACCAGTTTCTAACAATGTAAAGAGCATTCATTGAGAAGATCACTTAAAGTTTGTGTATATTTACCTGTCGCTGTTGGAGCAACGTCATCAGCGTATGCCACCACACCACATCCTGAGTTGTGCAATTTCCTAATCATCGTGTTTACTGTTAGACACCACAGCAGTAGCGGTAAAACTCCTCCTTGAGGGGTGTATCTTGTAATGCTAACGCTGCCCATCTCTGCAAAATGATCCTGTTTCTCAGTAGAGACCCTACAAGATTTACTATGGGCTGGCGGAGACTCAATTCTTGAAAAGCCTTTATTACAAATTTAGATAGAATATTATTCAATGGCGAGTCCTTTTTCGATGCCTCCGACCAAATCGTGCAGGGCTGTGTCGACAGACCTACCCTTAGAGTACGCATGTTGCTCCTTCGAGAGGCTCCTTGGGTGTAGATTCAGGCGTATGTAGCTGTCAATCAGCCTTTTAAAGATCATAGATTTAAGAGGAAGGAGGTAAGACTAATGGGCCGAAAGTCCTTAGGACTAACGTGGTTGGATCTTCATCCTTTTGAGATGAAAATTACCTTGGTCCTGGTCCACTCCTTGAGAATATATCCTTCACGTAGACAGGCCTCATAAATTTTGTATAGGAGTGGAGATAAGCTGTCATCAGCACTCTGCATTTCAGTGGGGAAGATACCATCTGGTCCTGAAGATTTAAAAGGCTGGAATGACTTTATCGCCCATTTCGCCCTTTTGAGATATATGAAGCTGCTAATATCAGAGATTTCCTCACCTTCCATGTGTGGGGTTTGATCGTACACATCCCGGAAAATTAGTGTGTTTCTTCAAAAGATGTAGTCCATTCCTCATCCGGTTTCTGGATATAGTTTGGATTTGCAGAGCTCTTGGATAGAACTTTTCTTAGTCTGCTACCTTCTGCATTTCCGTCAATGTTACTGCAAAGGACTTCCAAGATCAAGTTTTGCTTTCCTTATAAAGGTTTTAAAAGATTTCAGGCATACCTTATAAGAATGCCATGAGCCTGTTCTTTTGGCTTCATTAAAGAGTTTTTGGCTCCGTTTTTCTTAGCGCAGAGACTTCATTATTTCACCGTTTGGGTCTTTTCTTTCCAGATGGGATAGATAAAGAGCATGAGGCCTGAAAAGTATCATTGCTGACTTTGGGGACAAAGTCTACTGCTCCATCAATTTTCGACGATGAGTCAAGCTCAACGCGTGGAACAAGCCTTGTGCTGCCAGGACTCTCCTAAAAGTCGTCCAGTCAGTCCTCTTACTATATCTATACGAAGCGATTGATGGTGTTTTCATATTGAGTTGAAATGAAATGTATAGATGGTCAGAGAGGGAATGCTTCATGAGACTAGATTCCAGTTTCTGATCTGGTCTGGTTTGAAAGTAATGTAATGTCTTGAACTTCCTTCCTAAAGAGGTTACAAAAGTGTGTTTGTTCCCACGGTTTCATTTTTTAATATCATTTCCTAATATAAGCCGTTTTGTTTGAGAAGGGTTTTGGGTTCTCGCTGCCTGGCCCTATCGCCCGCTTTTCTACGGCAGCGAGAATGTTTTTCGCCCAGTCGAGGCTGGCCTTTTGAACCTCCGTCAGTTTGTCGGCAGAGATGGCACTAAGCTTTTCCACTATCTTGTAGGCTGATTTCTTGTCCCTGTTTTAGAGCAGCAGGGGCGTTGCTCCAGGGGATTTAACGAAGTGCATCCCGTGTAGTGCTCTGCGCTGGGCCCTTTACCCTGTATTTTTTTTCCCTTGCGTGCCTGCCAAGACGGGCCTCCCGGGACCCGGCTAGCATTATTATCTTACTTTCGAAGGGGCGTGCTTTGCAGCTGGTGAATTTTGCTTTCCCTCTTGAGTTTAGCATTGGCCCCCACGGGTCTCGAAGGTCGAAGTGTACTGGTCGAAGAGGTAGGCCGTGCAGCCCTTTTCGGCCCCGTCGATGCGGTTCCCGAAGAATTTTGTTTCGGCATTTTATCTGGTTTTTTGGTCACTTACTGCCGCAGCAAGTCACCGTTACTCAGAAGATTCAATTTTTCAAGAGCCAAAGCAATAAAACAAATCCAATTTTTGGCGAACGAAGCAGAAGAACAAGCAGAAGAACGGTGTTGGCAGACCATTTTCAAAGATCCAGCTAAAGGACCTAAAAAAATCAAGAAATTCCCTGAAAAGTTAGAATTAAAAAAAAAGACAATAAAAGTTGAATCGTAAATTAATGTCATACTATTGTAATAGTGAGATAACGTTTTTGAAAATATTTTGAATTAGTGTCAAATATTTCCCCAGTAAGCCCAATCGTTATTACCGCTTCCTTCATTTGGGTCTCTCAGAAATGTTTAGCCTTAGCCGTGTCATGGTTGGCATTTCTGATATCTTTTGTTTAGATCCATATAAAAATCCATAGATGAAAGTGGTAATTCACCACATTGGAAATTGGAATTGAAAATAATAATATAATAAAGCTTATATGATTTTGATATAGACGATCATTAAAGTGTTGAAATTAGGAAAATAATTCGATAACCATTGTAACAATTAAAAATTTTGGGCAGTTCTATCGAAAGTCATGTGTGATTTGGTTGCAGCTGCCGGCCTTCATATAATAACGAAATGTTAAGTACAATAATTCGCTGACATTACTTGTTTAATAATTCTTTGAAACTACAAAATCGGCCTTCCCCTGCGACAAAAATTTTTGAAGAATTTTGTGTACAAATCAGTGGTTTTGAAGTGATATTCTGAAAATCTTAACTAAATTGGTAATTTTTCTTTTTTAAATATGCCATGTCAACCCGCAATAATTTTGGGTGGCGTTTAAACATCTGTATTTTTGGTTAAGTTAAGTTATAGCATAATACAAAATAAATATAAATTTTTTTAACATTTGCATTTATTTCCTGAATTTGCTTTTTGCAACGGTTTCAATCTCTTCTTTGATTGTGCGTATGTATAGGTCTATATGGATATTCTCATAACGAATGTACCATGATGCACCTGCTATTATTCTCAATGTTTTCGACTGAAATCTTTGTATTATATCTAGATTTCTCGCGCAAGCTGTACCCCTGGACTTTATACATCCATGTCAGTTTTACAATCGCATTATGAAAAAGGACTTTGTTTTCAAGGCTAAGCCCCTATTTCTTTCTTAAAGCCAATATAAACGGATAATTAGTTTCAGCTGCACTTTTTGGCTGAAATGTGTCATTTCCAAATTAGTAGGCTATTCAAGTGTATACCAAGGTAAGTGATTTCGTTAGCTTGTGGGATAGGCACATTGTTCAGCTTGAAGATAGGGCACATTTTGGCCTTAATGTAAAGGTTGTGTGTTGCTCTTATGCCCCATTCCACTAGCTGTTCTTCAAATAGTAGTAATGGGCCATTTATGCCCACTTAGTATAGCAGTATCATCCGCAAAAGTTAATGTCATTACTTTGTCATTTGCAGGAATGTCTGAGGTGAACAAAATATACAATATTGATCCAAGAACACATAAGTGTGGTGGTAAAGGTGCAATATCGATAACGGATTATGTCGAAATAAAGAACTGAACAATGAACCGTTACGTAGCCTCAGCGGAGCTTCAGTGCTTACAGGTGGTTTATGGGTTTTGTTAGCTCTCCAAAGCGATTTCTTTGGTTAAACGTTGAGAGAGAAGACATTATAAAATTTTTTATGTCTTATGATTCTGGTTTTTGGTTTTGTTTCCTGCTCTGGTGTTGCTACAGTTGCTGCTGTTGCCAGCATACTGCTGAACACAAATAACTCGTTTTCAATTTCAGATTCCCTCTATATTTACCGATTTGTCTGTAGATGACTGCTTATGTATGTTTTATATTTAAGCCAGTTAGTTCTGAACGTAGCAAGTCGAAAAATATGCTTATTTTCAGTTGGTAGTTCGGTCAATTTAATATTATTGAGGAATGATCAAGATAAGTCAGCATAAGTTTCGGCAAATACTGAACTCTCCGTTTTTAGTGACTGCAAAGTCAATGAAGTCAGGTAATTTCCCAGCGTCTGTAGGCTACTGAGTTGTGAGATAAAATTGTATTTATTTTGGTACTTATGATCGCTTTGTATTACTGCCGTCCTTTTGGATTAATTAATCTCGAACCCCAATATAAATGCTTCCTACTAAAAATCTATCTTCCAGAGTCTTGAAAAAGTCGGTAAATTGTTTTTGTGTTATTATGAAGCGTGGCGGGCAGTAAATCGAAGCCTCTATTCTTAAGAATGAGCTAAGTTGACTGAAAAATGTTTGCTGAGAAAGAGTGAAGAAAACTTTCCTTTAAGCGGCTCCTTATGAGTATAATACCTCCATGTGCTTACCATCTAGGTGATTAGTATTCTACAACTTAAACCCAGAGATATAAAAGTTATGCTCATCAGTAAGAAGCCTTTCGAATAAAAGCATAACATCAATTTCGTGAATCTGTAAAAATAATTGGAGGTTTATACTGGTTTACATCATTAGCATTCCATAAACAAATCCTGAGCTCACTCATTTTCGGTGATCAGGGCTTCAAGCATTTGCTTTTGCGCTTTTATTAGATCTTAATCCATACTTTGCATGGTTGATATCAATTGTATCATGCACTGGATTAGATTAAAAAACACGACCTCAACTCCAGTACTGGAATGAATAGCTGGTGGGGTCGGTTCACTGGCTTTTAGCACGTCGGCAGAACCAGAATTTGAGCTGGGTAAGTTGGAAGGGGCTGGAATGGAAGTAGCATATGGGAGCTGGTTGCGTTTTGCTTGTATACCTTGGGTAAGTTTAGATTTTAAATCTTCATAAACCGTAGTTGCCACCACAGTTGCTACACTATTTTTGTGTTGCATCCGTTTTATTCAACAGCCACTTGGTAGAATGGTGAAGATCGCCACATGCTATGCAGACGGTATGTAAAGCAGAGTGGGATTTTGTGTGACCGAATTCCTTACAGTTTGTTCATTGTACGGGATAATTTCGCTTCATTGGTTCTTCCACCGTGAATCTTTAATGTAAAAGATATTATAAATATGATTAAGATATAAATTGAAGAATTTAATTAAGTACAATAACAATTCAATGTAAGTCGGCTTTCGCATTTCTATCAATTTCTGACTTTTTAAATTATAAAACTAAATTTCAATTTCAATTTTGATTTCTTACTAAACTCCTTTAACAACATACGTAAGTAACGGAGTAACGGAGGAAGTAACTACTAGTAACACTAATGTAGCTAAATAACAATTAATTCATTTCTTCTAACAAGAGATGCTCAATAAACACTACGATGTCACTTCATTTTGATAACAAGAAAAACTATCTCAACGAAATGAAATCATTACGTTTCGGCGCCATGCCATTAAAACGAAATAAAATCGTTTACGATGAAACCGATGATGAAATAATATACAGGTGAAGTAAGTAGGCAATTGTCCCTCTCTCACATGCTCTCACAAAATTATAGTAAACATTACATAGCTTTATTCTCTATTTGTTATGATTACTTTCGTTTGATATAGAATTTTTTCAATGTGTTATAAGTAATTTAATTTTAATTAAATTTGTTTAAAAACATCTTATAATTTAATGATATTTATTTAGTGTTGTTTCTTCAGCTTATTTACTTTTGCATGTATTGGCGCATAAATATTTTTAAACGATTTTTATGTAAGTAAAAAAAACCAGTTCTTGAAGACTTGTGTTATATTATAAATGTATTAGCATTTTTCGCTACTACACGTACGAAGAATATATCTTTAAAAATTGTCCAACTAAATTTTCAAGGAATTAATGGAACTTATTTATCTATAAATATGAGTTTTTAGCCGTTGTGATCCTTGAAACCGCGGACAGCGGACAGTGAATACAACACACCTACTGTTATTGTTAGGCACACTTGACAATAATAACAACACATAAGGCTGCTTGTTAACATTTTTTGTGCTTCTCCTAGTGAAAGAAAGTAAGGTTATGGTATTACATTTGGCCACTCGGAAGGCTCTGGTTCTTATACTGGTCCGACCAACATCCAAATATATAGAAAGTTAATGTTTATTTGAGAAACCGAAGAATGCCGGTACGAACTCGCCGCAATATTTCAATTAAACAAAAAAATTGCAAATAGGAGGTTTTATTAAATAATAACCCATTACGAGAGCTATACAAGTTTGTCAATGAGAAGTATTCCCTGCTGACGTATAGATTATACCAGGATGTTCTTAAACATTTTTTCGGAACGTAACGTAGTCTAGGTGGTACGCATGAAAATTCAAGTAAAATGCAGTTCTAATTGAGGAAATGGGTGATTGTTTACATATGATATGTCGATTAAAATTTTAAGAAATTGTGTTCATATACACGAAAAGTTTGATGGTTCGAAGAAATGTGGAAGCTGCTGATACCAAGTGGTTTCGAGTACCTGGAAATTCGATTGATTCCCTTAGAACTCTAGTAGATGAAGACGAGGTAGACCCAGAGAAGAACACATTTATAGAGGCGTATAAAAATAATCCCGATGAGCAGAATATCCATCAGGAAGATGCCCTGAAGTACGCCGCGGGCTACATGATACGAAAATTGGGCCTTAAAAATTGTTCATCGACGAAATATCTATGGGGGAACTTATTAAACCCTCTGCCGACTTTCTTGCAAAAATTAAATTACTCGAAACGATATTTATAAAGTCCAATAACAACAGACTTCAAACTTGCTCAGGATTTCTGCAGAAATTGATGAAATCAAAAGGTTCAAATAAAAATATGGGAACCCGTCCAACAATTTAGATGGCGTGATCGACATTTCTGTGAAATATAATGTTTTCATGCACCGTTACGTGTAAAATTATTTTTAATATTCAAGTTAGCTTTATAATTTTTTAAATATGGTTTGCACTGCTATTATGTTTTTAAATTTTGTACACACAAGGAAAGCCAATATTGTCTATTAGGACTTTAATATTGTACTTATCAATATATGTAATGTTCGTCATGATGTTATATTATTAATAAATGTAAGTACATGCGTCTTTATGTATAAACACTTGTTGTTACTTAATTATTAAGATTAGCAATGTCTTCTTGCCGTTAGCTTTCCTGTTTCAGAAATAAAGTAGTTGATATGCACAATAATTTACCTGCAGTAAAAATAAAACCATTAAGTTCTCTGTATATGATATAAAAATAATAACCTTGTTTTACATGTTTGTTTTTCGAAATAATCAATATTTTATAAATTTCCCAAAAAATTCCTGAATTTTCTTTTATTTCTTCCCCATCTCTTCATATTCAAAAATACAACGTAGAGCTAAGGCAGTGTCAAAGTCTCTTTCTACTCTACTTGCTTCACATGTATATTACTTCATCATGGGTGAAATCGCAAAAACTCATGGAAAAAATTTTAAAATGACTGCTTGCTATGATTTAACATCACATTTCTATTCATCGGTTAAGATTATCTGCTAACGATTTAACATTAGCGACAGCTTTTTCCTCCGGTTTCGCTCTATCATTCTCTTATTACAAACCATTCGTATTAACCAAAGAACTAATTTCTGCTCAATTCATGTTTAGTTAACGGTACAACCACAGAAGCGAACAGTTCAAGTGATCCTCTTATTAATACTCATGGAATAGTTGTAATAAATTCAATATTATCAATATTTCTAAAATAAGTAATAATGTTTTTTAATGCATAGTTGACTTACCTTTGTTTGATTTCATTTCGACATATAAATACACCGGCTGAAAATAATAATTATGTAATTAATACACTAAACATACCGTCAGTTTTAAACATATATTGGTTATACCATTTAGTATACAGTGAATATCAATGTAAGGAAATACAAAGTTTGTAGTAATTAAAGTTCCGAGGATTATTTCACGACTAACTTTTTTCAAACATGAGTGTACGTATTACAAAGCATAAAGGATAATAAGAATAAAAAGGAATGCGAGGTATTAGACGGTGTTGCAAAGATACATTAATGTTATTTTTAGTACATGTTTACTTATTACTATTTGTTACGAACTACTTCGCTCCCACAAAACCTCCTCTCGAAATAGAGAGTTTATTCTTATAATCTGCGTTGAATAGGACCTAAATGCGTTGAACAACTATTGTGCTTTATTTGACTAAGCCTCTTTGTAAGCATAGTCTGTAGCCATTTGCCGTGTTGACTTATACTCTAATGTGATCGTCTTATTTTGCATGTAGTCACGAATGATACTGCAAACTTTTGAGCACTCTGGCTGTCATTAAATAGATTGATATTGGCACAATTAACACAAACTTCATTCAATGCAGCTTTCAAATATAATGTTTTTTTAGCTACCTCAGTGATCGTGACATATTTTGACTCTGTACTTTAAAGCGGGACAGTACGTTGTTTATGCTCTTCTTAACTTATAGATGACCCAGCATACATAAACGCAAAACCTGTGTATGATCGTCTGCCGGCTTAATTTGCACCCCAATCGGCATCACTGGGTTGCTTTGCTTAAGTGACCTTAGCCAATCTCCCATTGCTCGCTGAATTTCATCGGTGTGCTTTGTCGCACCGTTGACCTCGTTGAATCTTCTTTAACACGCTGATAAGTATATCTGGAATGTCCACATAGGAATTCTAGTCCAAGTACGCCGTCACTAAATCCATTCGATGTATCTGTAGATTATTCCCGGCAGCCAACGCAGTGAATAGACGTACTGAAGTTGATCGCACTACCGAAGATGAAACCTCATGACAATCTTCACGTTGAACGTAGCTCTTTACTACGAGTCGAACCTTCTTTAAATTGGCACCTTCAGTACGAAATACGAATCGATTGCCAATAGTCTTCCGGTTGGCAGGATTTTCAACTATCTGTCAAGTCTTGTTTCGAAATCATCTGACTCACCGCCATCCTCCTCTGAATCTGCGCCGTCGACTCTTTGTTGATAAACTTTTAGTGATCTGCACCGTTGGCCAGTACGCACATACGATAGATGCACCAAAAAATTAACCGCACCCACTTTAACTGTTGGTACGTCTAGCTATTCTTCGTCGTTGGAAGAAACTGTACTACTTGTATTGTGGTTTTCGATGTTTCACGATATTTGTCGATTACGTTCGCAAAGTCTTCAAATGTGCCTTCAAACCCCGATTTATCTATAAACTTAGTGTCTCGGCAAGTTCTTACACGTTTTTTATTATTCGAGAATAGCCTATATGCTTTGATTCGTCTGAATAAGCAACGAATATACACGGTACCGTGCTAGATTCAAACGTTCCTTTTGTAGGATTTTCGGAGGATTAAGAACGTATGCTTTCAAACGGAATATTTTCAAATACGCTATTGTCGGATTTCGATTTTTCCACGCGCGATGTGGTACCTCACCCGTCGTTTAGTAATGCTTTAATTTTCTTGCAAGTAAATAGTTTCAACTTTTGCTTTGTATTGCTTGAAAACACTTAATACTTCGGATTTATTCTTTATGAAAAATATTTCGCAATATCTCGACTTTTCATCTATAAAAGTCACAAAGTTTTTTGGGCCACCCTTTGACGCATGTCTCATTGGCTCTATGTTCATATTTTTTTGGAAAACGGCACGTACTTGCTTTTCGCTAGCACGAATTTCGCAATGCAATGTGTGCACTATATTCGCAAGGTTTGTGGAAGTTTTTAAATAAAACAAGTTGCCAATTCTTTCGGCTTCCAACACTACTTCGTTGTTACTGCTTATTACCATTGCCTCATTTTTTTTAAATTTCACGACATATCCCCTGTCGGCAATTCCTGCAGCTGACGTTAAATTCGAACGCAAGTCAGCCATATGCAATACATTTTCTAAGTCCAATTCTAACTTTAGCTAAATTAAATTTTTCATTTACTTGTCTTACATTTTCAAAAATATTTCCATTCGCAATCATATGAGATGTACAACCACTATCACGACCCCATCTCATATTTCCAACAGGGACTGCAAATGCTTTTTCACATTGAATAAATGTCGTTTTTGCATTTTCATTTGCTTCTTCACTCACATTCGTGTTTTGCTTGTGATTTTTGCTTGTACAATTTCTCACGAAATGACCCGACTTGCCGCACCGATAGCATAATTTCGTGAATTTACCGAATTCTGACTCATACTATTCAAGTACTTTTACGCGAAGTACTTCTGGCTTCGGCAACTCGTCTCGCGTTTCCACTGTGCATCTAAATGCTTTATACGACGCTGTCATGCAGTACAACAACAAAATAGATAGTAGCTCGTCAACAACTGCGACGTCTATTTCTTTCAACTTAGCGACAGCATCGAAAAATGAATTGAGATTGATCGCGTACCTTTTCTTCCTCCGACATTCGTGGCAATGCTATACGTTTTAGGAATGTAGCTTTTATTGCAGGCCCTTTCGATTAAAATGTTGCTTCCAATCTTAACCATATTTCCCGTGTCGTAGTGCACTCTGAAGCCTCAGCTCCGGTCGTGATATCGCCAACGTGATATCCGCTGATACGTTTTGGTTGAGCAGCATCCATTCAATGAATCTATTTTCGTCATCAGGCTTCACTATGCAGCCATCTGCAAAGCCCCACAAATCATTTTTAATCAAATTGCAATTTTTTATGAATCGTAGTTCTCCGCGTTTAGCGGCTCGATTTTTACACCAGCCATTACTTTAAATATACACTTCTCACTTCTGTTAACTGTTCGCAGTCACAAGGCGCTGGGGTATTACAAAGTATAAAGGATAATAAGAATAAAAAGGAATACAAAGTAGTACACAGTTTTCTTCCATTAATACCCAGATCAGTTTGGTTACATTGCATATGGTTTCACCTTTCCGATTGCTTTTGGCCCTACTTATGAATACTAATCTTAGAAAGAGGTAGGCCCCATTGTGAGCGGTTATTGTGGATAGGAGTTTTCTGCTTCCATCTAACTCGTTGACACTGGTAAAAAATTCAATAATTGGTGGGTATCCTGCGCGGTATCTTCATAGTCGGGTTGCAATTAGCCTTGCAACGCAGCAGTTCGCATTAAAATTTACATACAGGTCAGACGGGAGAAGATTAAGAACAATTTCAAGTGCTTTCGTAAGAGTTGAATGGAATTATCCTGCAATGAGTACAAAAGCCGTCCGTTAAACTTTGTTCAGCTTTAAGCAGCTTTGCCAATTATTAACGATATAAGTGGCTTTTTTGTGTAGATTACTTGTCGGTGTTTTCAGTCGTACGCTACTACTTCATTTAGCTTTCCTTTAGCGAAATAACGTGTTAACTTTGAGACATCGAGGAAGTGAAAAGAGAACTCCTCCCTACGACATTTTTCCTTTTACCAACCCAGATGTGGATGCCTAAAACATATCGATTCAGCTGAAACAATCTACCTCCCAAGAGCGTTATATAAATGAATAGTTTCTATAGCCTGATGTTGGCGTTGCTGATTATGGCAATAAAAACCAGCGGTGATTTCATTTTTTCCAATAAAATTGCTTGGTTTGATCGATATTTTTTGTGCGAGGTTGACAATAGACACTTTTATAAATAAATTTATAATGAAATAAGTAACATTCAATTTTTACTTTTGACAGTACATCATTTTCCCACTCGAGTGGTATGGCTGGGAAATACGTAAATTGGATTGTTGGACTAAACCTTTAGAGTAGGACTGCTGGTTACCCAATTTGCTGTTCGGAGGTATCTCTTGACATATATAGACGTCGGTTTATATATCTTAGTATATTTCCTTCTGATTTACTTTGAGTATCAATGCAGAAAGATTTCCAAGATTCGAAGGAAACTGTCCGTACTTTTTTGAATTTAGTCCATTCAGAATTTGGGGTTAACTTGGGGTGGGACTAGAGGATATATAGAGGTGGTTGCAGAAAGAGTGATGACCAGATATATGCTAGTCTTTGTTCTGGTGGCACGCTGGGACTGTTGTGTGCACAGTAGGAAGAAGCTACGCAGATATTTTTGTCTTCCAGGCACACAGTGATGTCGGTATAGTTCGCCTGCAAGCATGATGTGATCCTAGCTTTTGTCGGTGTTCGTACCATTTTGGAAGCAGCAGAGTTTCATCCGCAGACCTTGTTTCCTATATCTCAATGATCACGGCTTAGAACGATCTCCTCTCCTGTTTCGCTAAGGTAAAGGCCGAGGCAGCTGAAGCTGCAGGATTTCAGAGCGTGTCATAACACCAGCCTCTACGAAGGGCTAACCTTCCCAAGTTCACTTGAAGTGTTGTTGATTTTTAAAATTCAGCTACTTTTACATCTGGCTCTATCATCTCTTTTGACTCAATCTCATGTTGCTTCTTCTTTACCTTGCCCACTTGTTCTACCCAGCAATTGATGGTTGGGCTGCAACCTAAGAACAGGCTCCCGCTAGGTTTGGGATTGCACCCCTGTACAACGCTGCTACATTGGCCGTCCTCGTGTGGCAGCCAAGACATTTTCGCCCACTTAAGACTCCACTTCTTCTCTTCTTCCTTATCTTCCATTTTTTGGATGTAATGGGGTGTTTTCAAGCTTTTGGGGGCGCAGGGCTACACTCAGTTCATATTCTTGCGCCAACGTTGCGCATCCTGGAAACGTGATCAAAACTTGTGCCAGATCCCATATGAAGCCCTAGGAACCAGCTAAAAAAAGAAAGCTTCGGTGAAGGCACTCCAAAAAATAGGCTTAAGGGTCTGATTGCAGCTTCTTTTCACCAGAGAGAGGCGTCCGCCTTAAAGCAAGTACGTAGAAATGAGCTTTCAATGAAAAAAAAATCAACAGCTTTCAACTTCTTTACATACGCTTAAAGCCCAATTTTAAGGAAGATAATGAAATTTTTTTCGAATAACTTATTTTTAACTTAATAGATATTTTTTAACCCACTATTATAGATGTGACATCCATATAGAATTTTTTTTTTGATAAAAAAAGCTAAGCCCAGCATGTTAATGTTTACTTGTCTGAGTAGCATTTTGGTGTATTATTAAATATATTTGTTACTATTTCCAACTATTTATTAAAAATAATTGCCTCTTAAATTGTTAATTGATCACTCAACCTAATATTTTTTGAAAAAAATCAAACCATTTATGGGCTAATTTGCACATTTTATTATAACTAGGTATAATTAAAGCAAACTTCTGCTGAAAATTAAAAAAAAAAACGCACTAACTTTAAAATTAGTTTTTAGCGGATTGTGTGTGGCAGCTGACATTTCAACTCACAGCTGATAGTTGGGCCTCGTTCTTATAGTTTGAACTGGCAACTAAACCTAATCGCAGCCCAAAGATAATTGATAAGTGAGTAAGTTTCATATCATATTACCTTTAAAACGTTTGGACAAGGTTTCTACTAACTACTGACTACACGAAGAAGTCATGAGCTGGATCATCCAATTTTTTACTGGGTATGAACGTTCTTTTTCGTAGTTCAACAGATCGGTATGCTAGATGTAAAAATAACATCCGAATATATATATATATATATATATATATATATATAAATGAATAGCCAACTGGTATGATTTCATCTTTAACTAATATTTCTTCTCCATGCGTTGTATATACACTTTAGAAATTATTCAACCCATATTCAAGCTTACAACACTAGTATAATATATTATATAATATAGTATAATATATTATATAATTCCTTGCAAGTGTGTCTTCAACTTTGGGTTTGCAGAAAATTTGATGAAGTTTTATGGGCCAGATTTTGGACTCAACTTTACTTTACTTAAGCATCTGAACTTCTGGAATATAAAGCTTTCGCGCTTAAATTAATATTCGTATTCATATTACAAAATTTTCTCACAAACTTAGAGTGCTAAATAGAACCTTCTTTGACAAATAAAGTATGTATGATCCGTAAAAATGTCTCATTAGGTACAGATATGTGAATATTTTATTTGATTTTACTTACCTTATGATCCCCCATGCAGATGGACTTGCCCATTGTATTGTACTGTTCATAGGCTTTCTTGGGAGAAGAAATTTCTGGTATTTGTGAACTCATTAAAACGCGATCACACCATGCTGGGCACCTTGTTTTCATGTATTGATTTGGCAATTCTGGGTCCTCTTCAAATGGATATGAAGGCTTAAAATCGAACTCAAACTCACATAAAATATCATTGAAAGGTTCCGGATCTCGATCATATTTGCTTAACTGAAATCGAAATTTTTTTTATTTAAAAAATTTTCAATTATATTTTATTTGAGTGATTGACATTTTGATTGAAGTTTTCGTTATATCAAATTTCGATTATATCATATACTCGTATACAAATATATGTATGTATATCATAAACATTCGAATGGCAAATTTCGAGTATGCAAAATCAGTTATATTAGCTCATAAACATATCTATTGCATTACAATTTTTAAAATATATTCTCATATTTTCCCATAAATACAAAAATTATAATTTCCTGTTTGATCTTGAAATCATAATGTGGATGGCTTTTGATTACTAAGCCTATAACTAAGTTTGTGAAATTGAATTAATCATCGCCATCGTTCTTATTGTGTCTTTCTTGAAGAACTTGGAAAATAACTCCTTATTTTAAGAATTTTATGTTTACCGCGAAAATATATATCAAAGCGATTTATTCTTTTCATTCAAACGAGAAACACTTCTTTAGACCATAATAAAAAGTATTAGAGAAAATCTAAATGTGGAAGAGCCGACAAAATATTTTGGATTCAAGTGGTCAAAAGTTTGTTCTAACTAGAATTCATTGCTTCTTATCACTGACAATGTTTACACCATTTCGTACTTTTCACGCGCCTTCATTTGTATGTTTGTCAATTGTAATTAATTCAAGGACCGATAAAAAAGATGGTTTTCTTTTGTCACCTATAGACAAAGAAGATATCCCTCTCACCAGCTTTTATTTAGATCATGTTGGCCTACTAACGATTACGCGCAAGCAGTATAACTACATCAAAAAAAGACACAAGTACTGATGCGGTAGACTGACAAAACAAGAAGTTATGTTTGGCAACTCAAGAAGAATCATATTGATAGGGGCTCCGCACCACATAACATATTATTGGAAAAGGAAACAGACAGGTAGAGCGTATTCATGGGTAAAGATCAGCAGTACGCCAATAACTCTCCCCCGAGAAGCACAAAAATAGCACCTTTCAAGCTATTGACAGGATGTGACATGAAACTTGCAGAATCAACACGATGAGACGAAATTCCGTATACTGAAGGCATTGAATCACTCGATGATGATCGCAATGAAGTACGGCAACTAGCTAAGCAGAACATTACTGCCATACAAGAAGAAAATCGTCTGAGTTACTACTTTACACGAAAAGAACATTTCAATTATAATGTCAATGCACTGGTGGCCGTAAAACGCACTCAATTCGGTATCAGCTTAGAGTTGGAACGGCAATATTTTAGACCATACAAAACCATAGTAAGATTGCCTCATGTACGTTGAAAAGTACAGAAACTTGATGAAGCGGAGGGGCCTAACGTAAAATTAACAGTGGCAGAACACATGAAGAAATGATGTTCAGATTTCGAGTTGATTTCTGAATCAGGAAGGCCGAATGTTAGATCGACGAACAGACGCAAGACGACTAGAAGCGTATGGAACTTTTCAGTGGTGCATAATAATTAGAGTTTTGCTTAGAGTCCATTTCTTCTTTCTACTACTATTCTCATTAAAGAATACTTCAAATCAGGTCTATGAGTAAGGCGCAGTGCAAAAGGTTCAGATCATATTAGCAAGTGGGCCAGGGACATCGTATTTATATCAAGGCCTTCATTATTGAAAGCTATAAAAACGTAAAATTAAATGATTAGAAATTGTTTGACACTGCAAAAATATTTAAGAGTGATTTGTGGCAGAATGAAATTATTCTTTAAACGGTTAGAAACCTAACGAGGATTCACACAGAGTGACTTTTTATAGTGTGATTTCTTTTGTTTGATGCTGGAGAAAATTATAAGCTGCAGAGTTGAATGGAGAAGGTACAATCTTTTAAAAGAGCGTACAACTATTGGGTTATGCCGATAATATTGATATCGTAAGTCTTAACAACCGCGCAGTTAGTTCTGGTGTTCCAGACTTCATAAAGAAGTGAAGCGAATGTATGTGGTAGTGAACGAGGTCAAGACGAAAAATCTCCTCTTATCAAACAAACAGTCATCGCACTCGCGACTTGGCTCCCACGTCACTTTTAACAGTCATAACTTTGAAATCGTAGATAATTTCTTCTATCTAGGAGCCAGCTTTAACACCAATAATAACGCCAGCCTTTAAATCCAACGCAGAACCACTCTTGCCATTAGGTGCTACTTTGGACAGAACAGACAATTGAAAAGTAAGGTCTCCTCGAGGGTGGAGGCAGAGGAAGACGTGTTGTTAACTCGGCTGTAATCGCGCAAGCGGTGTCTACGTCAGTAAACTAAGTAAGTAAGTGAGCGGGGAATGAAAAAATCCTTTTCATAAACCAAAAAAAATCGTATTCGTAGCTCGTCTACCAAGACATTGTTGCATCTCATATCAATAATAATTTCGTCTGTTTTGGAAATAGCATTAACACCAATAACAACACAATCAAATGGGCTTTCGCTAAGCAATCCCGTCATGCTATGTGGTGCGGAAGCACGTAGGTTAACAACATTATTTGATTTATGACGGTGTGCGCCTTGGGAATGCGTACGATGTGCTGTGCGAGATATGCACCTATGCTGGCTGAGTGGTCTGGATGGATTGGAATATAATACATAGTTGACGCTTTGTAACCGCTGAAGTGATTTTCAGCCGAGCTCCTCCTCCAAATAGTGGTTTTGCGACATAATGTTTTTCCAACAAATCGAGGGACCTACAGTTTATACTAATCCGCCTCCGAATGGCTGAAGGTTTTTTATGAATAGCTTTTATTCATGTCAAAAATATTCTCGGATGGGTTGACATTCTCTGTCGATTGGCGACCGCAATTAAAAATTTTTTCTTAATTTTTTATTTAAATTAATTTTCGATATCTTTTGGATGTTGGTCATACCAGGATTTGAACCCCAGCCTTCCGAATGGCGGAACGCAATGCTAGCCACTCGGCTTTCGCGGCCATCCTACATTACTTTAACTAATTTAATACTTCACAATACTTTCAAAAATATCTCATTTTCTTCATGAAAATCCACACATCAATTTGGTTTGCGCAAAAAACATGACAGAATTGAACAAGTAAACCTTGTTATGAGAAAAGCTTTTGAATGCTCGGCTCTGACTAGTGTGGCATTATGATCCATTCATAAAATAAAGAATCATTATCTAACACTTTCCACAATATCCTTGAAACTTTCTATCAAACATATTATGTCGATAGTTCGTGATAAGCTTAAGATAAAGCAAGCTCAGCCATCTCTCTCGTTAATTACAGCGAAAGATTTTTTGCCTCCTAGTTATGGGAAGGAACAAAATTGCGATACACGGAAAATATCTTATTGATAAATAAACTCAATAAAATTATAAAAAGCATTTGTTTTCTCAAATATCGCAAATAAACATTGAACATAATTTTATCCGATGGCAATACAAATGCCAGCCATAATTTAGCACTTTGACATAGATGTACAGAATCAACCCTACATGATTGTGGTTTATTGCATTGTAGGACATAAGACAAAAGAATTAAGGATCACGATTTGAGGGCACGCACCTGGAATGCCCGGTCCCTTAATTGGGAAGGTGCCGCTGCCCAGCAGGTAGATGTCATCGTAAAAAAAGGCTGACATCACCGCCATCCAAGAATTGCGATGGACGGGACAAGGGCGAAAGCGATTTAGTTCTTGGGACATTTACTACAGCGGCTACATAAAGGAGCGCAAATTTGGTGTTGGATTTATGGTGGAAGAGAGTCTCCGTCATCGAGTACTGGCATTCACCCCGGTGGATGAGTGCCTCGCCACAATTCGCATCAAAGCGAAATTTTTCAACATATCGCTGATTTGCGCCTACGCCCCGACGGAAGAGAAGGACGATTTGGCCAAGGATGCCTTTTATGAGCGCCTAGAGCATACTTACGAGCGCTGCCCACGACACGACGCGAAAATCGTGCTTGGCGACTTTAATGCCAGGGTGGACAAAGAAGGTATCTTTGGTTTGTTGGACATTTCAATGGGTTGAGGCTGATCGACTTTGCCGGGGGCTGAAATATGGTACAAATATCGAAAGACTCAAAACCATATCGATCATGTTTTGATAGACGTAAGACATGTCTCCAGTGTTCTTGATGTATGTACACTCTGAGGACCCAACATCGACCGGGATCATTATCTTGTTGCGGCAAAGATACGCATGCGCCTCGTGTATCGAAGAATGCACGTCAACAAACGCAAGGAAAGTTCGACGTTGAAAAGTTGCAATCACAACAGACTGCCGAACGATTATCTACTCGGCTTGCACTCTGCTCTCTGAGAGCACTCATCAGCAACTCGGTATACAGGAACTTTGGGATGGCATTTCAAGCTTCCTACGTACAGCTGCAAACGAAACTATTGGATTTCGTAAAGGTCGGAAAAACAGCTGGTACGTTGAGCACTGTCGTGTCGCGGGGGAGAGAAAAACTATTGCCTATCTCGCAACCTACGATCGACCACAACACGTGCAGGATGGGATAGATACCGAGAGGCGAAGAGGGAAGCAAGACGCATTTGCAGACAAAAAAAGAAGGAGGCCGAGATGCGTGAGTATGAAGAGCTTGAGAAGCTGGCCGACAAAGGGTAATGCTCGAAAATTCTATGAGAAGATGCGATGACTTACGGAAGGTTTCAGGACCGGAGCATGCTCTTGTAGGACACAAAGAGGTTATCTAGCCACCGATGCCCAGAGTATATTGAATTTATGGAGGAAACACTTTTCCAACCTGCCGAGCTATTCAATCATGGTGGTGACAAGATACATGCATCAGCTACTTTGCAGAATATGGTCGGACGAAATCATGCCCGACGTTTGGAATTTAAGTGTGCTCTGCCCAATTCATAAAAAGGGGACCCCACAGTCTAACAGTAAATAAATATTTACAACACTCTTCTTTTTCAGTTTATTTAATTTGTAAGTTATTTTTTAACAAACCATATGATTCTTATAATTTGTATACTTTTCATGAGCATGAGTTGGTGTATTAACTTTGATCCAAAGAAAGAACTAGAAGGAGAAGAATGGCGCGCTAAGTTTATAAAGCACTGTCAGTTTGTCCGTCCACAGCTTTATTTTTATACATGAGCTCGAGTTGAACTCGTTGAAATCCAACTTGAGGAAAATGATTGACAGTTCAACAAACTTGAAATATCTATTTTGTTTTTTTAGCTTTTACATAGAGGGGGTTTAAGCCTGATTAGCCGCAAACTTAATATAATTCAAATTTTAGGCGAGATACGTTATAACAAAAAATGAATGGAGTTAGATCTAGAATATTTTTGAATCAATTCCGAATTTTCAAATTACTCCAGATTGAAATTGGTGTCTTCTGTCTACGCTATTTTGTTACTAAAAAGTTTGCTTAAACAGTCAAGGGTGTTCTGTTATCATAAAAAAAACTAAAGCAGAAACTAGGAGATAATTGAAAACTTACCCAGTTGTCCTTAATCATTCCTTGATTTTCAACGTAGTGAAATTCTTTTTTCCCGATAATTAAAACATTTTCTCCAATCTCATTCCGATAAAATACTTTTGAGCTGTTCGCATTGGTGGTCGATGCACGATGTTTCGTTAAATTTCTTGTCAATTCCTTAAAAGAAATGATCGAAATTTTCATAAATGGCGGCTTATTACATGATATATAAAAATAATAATTAATACATTCATTTGTAAGCGAAAAACTGTAACTATTATGATCATGATAGAATATATGCCGACTTCGTAAACGTATCGCAGTTGTTGTAAATTCTTGAGTCACTATCGCGATAACCCAGCCTTAAGAACTAACTCTTAGTTTCTCCTGGCATACGGCTTGAGCTTTTATGGCGGGTGCGAGAGAATTAAATGAAGAAATGTATTGAAATTGATCAGTAGGCTCGTTGCAAAATGTGGTCCTTACCCAATGACATAAGAAGCATCTAACGCTGCGCAGACGCCAATCCCCACTGAGCAGGGACGTGAAGACGCAAAACAGATCATATAGTCACATATCTTCTCATGGCAATTAGATGGCAACACATGATAAGAAGAACTTTGAGTTTTTAGAATGGAATGGTGTATAAATGAACCCAAATATTAGATGTTCAGAGTGCCAACTTAAAAATTTAATATAACTAGATAAGTAAGTAACGAAAAAACAATCAAGGTTGCCAAACTGGTTATTTACTACTCGGTAAAACGATAATCTTTTAATTTCACAAAAATATTTCACACGTACAAAACAAGCGAATAACGATTAACGAATTAACAAAGGTGGTGTAAATATCCATTTATATATTCATATTTTTTGTAAAGAAAAAAGCCAGTTCTATCTTACAGACCAATATATCAACACATAAGTATATATACAATATATAATACCTTTTTGATTTTTGTTAAGCGATCTGTTCAAATATTTTGATGTTTTTATTATTAAGTTAGGCTTAGCTGATCTGGTGTAATCAGTGCAAATAAAACTAATTCATCCAATTTTTACCCAACGTTTCGCTAAATATTTTAGCATCTTCAGGGGCTCCTGTTTATTTATTTTGAATAAAGAACACATGTTAGTGTATACATAGATACATGCTGAGTATTTAAAAAAAGAAAAATTACTAATATCAAAAAGCTTGCAATTATATAATATGCAATGTCATTAGCATATGTATCATTGCCACAATGTTTGGTAGCTATATTGATACTAACTAATTACTTTTCCAAACATAACAAATATGCTGCTGCGATGTTGTCTGTATCTTCTTTTTTGTTTACTGTCTTGTTCCTCTTTTCCAAAATTCTTAGGCTCTCTGTGTGTATCTCATGTTCTCTCTATAATATCTTCTGTTCTCCGTCGTAGCAATTGGGTTTTTGAATTGCTTATGAAATTAGGAAGACATTCATGTTAACGGAGTGTAGCTGTACAATTTTTCTTGACGTAGCACAAGCGTTCATCAAAGTTTCTCATAAAGGAATTTATACTACACAAAATTCATAAAACTTTGCCTAACTTGACTGGTAAACTGGAGAATTAAAGTTAATGAGCAAAAATGTTCCTGTCAAATTTTTTGAGGGCGTAACGAGGTCAGCTGTAATGTAAATTTACAAAGGTTTTTTTTATGGTTCTATACGAGTTGGGAACGGCTAATATCGCAGCCGAAGGAATGATGAGCTGTATGAGATATGCGGCGACATTGACATAGTTCAGCGGATCAAGAAACAGCGGCAAGGTCATGTGGTCCGGATGGATACAAATACTCCAAATGTATTCTCGATGCAGTACCCACCAGTGAAAGCAGAGGAAGAAGAAGGCCTCCACTCCGTTGAAAAGAACAGGTTGAGAAGCGCCAAGCTGTATTTGGAATCTACAATTGGCGGCAAACAGTAAAAAAAGAATGAATGGCGCAATGTTATAAATTCGGCTACGATCTCGTAGGCGTTTTCACGCCAGTAAAGAAGAAGAAGAAGTGTAGCTTCTCTGCTTCACTGTTTATTTTCATTATACTTTTCATGCTTGCAGAAATGCTTTTGCTCGCCCTACCTTTCATAACCAAGCCTTCTGTTTGAATATTGACAGCAACCAGTGAAGATTGAAAATCGCAAGCTATTGTAATCGTTTTAAAATTATTAACGAACTTAATGAAATAAAAATAATTAAATAAAAAAGACTAGAATTTGGGGTTCACCAGAAATAAGTAAGCAAGAAAGTGGAAACAAAAATTAAAGAAAAGGATAGACAATTTTGAAAGTATATTAAATTATGTTAAGGCAAAGTGAATTGACTGCAGTAGCACTAGTCTCCTAAGTGCACGTTCAACGTTTGTGGCAGTGCATTTATACGGCAAGCATCAACACACTGTGTACATAGTGCTTAAGCTGGAAATCGCATTAGTCCATTGCAACACGAAAATATACACACATATGTATATACGCAGCGTCCGCGGTAGCCGAGTGGTTAGCATTGCGTACTGCCATTCGGAAGGCTCGGGTTCTAATTGCCGTGCGACCAATATCCAAAAGTTATAGAAAATTATTTAAAAAATAAAAAAATTGATCTAAATTCTCTAATTGCGGTCACCTCTCGGCAGGGAATGTCAACCCCTCCGAATTTATTTCCGATATGAAATAAAGCTTCCCATGAAAAAACATCAGCCATTCGGAGGCGGCTTAATATAAACTAAATCATCACGACGCAAAACCACGATTTGGAGGAGGGGTTCGGCGGAAAATCGCTTCAGCGGTTACATACCATTGCGGAGAGTAAGTTAGAAAAAGAATATAACGGTCCTGGTCAACGACTATAGCATTTAAGTAGAGCAAAGATTAGCGTTAAAATTTGAATATTGTTGAACAAAGACGAAGCAGTAAAGAAGCAGGCGACGACAGCGTTCAAATCAGCAAGGACGAAGTAGCGTAGTGGAGAAAGCAGAAAACTAATTATAAGGTAAAGAAGTTGCGATAAAACGTAATCGAAATCTAAGAAGGGAAAAATATGAGCACTAGAAGTAGAAAGAAGACACACAACAAGAAAAGATAATTGTAAAGTAAAGCAATTGAGTAGACGTTTTGTTAAACAAAAAAAAAAATGCAGGACCAAACATATATAAAAAGAATGTACTTATGGTATATATATAAGAGGTGTGACAATTAAAAATAAGACTGACTATATTGCCGCGGTTGTGGTAACCCTGCGACCTTGAAATGCCCTTTGTCTTCTCTCAGCATCCTTCTCCTCTCCATTGATGTATTTGCCATCCCTCTAGCTTGTTTAGTTCGTCTCCTATGTCATGCTGAGTAAACATTTGTTCGTATTGCTTGTCACGAAAATGGAAAACGAAATCAGAAGCAACGCGTGGCGATAAAATTTTTCGCTAATTGGGCGAAACAGCCTCGGAAACGTACGCTAAAATTGTAAAAGTGCAGCGTGTTGGAAACCAAACGCCAAAGCTCACAATGGTTGTCTCGGCACGCCCCCAACCCATAAACAAGTCGAACGTGAAAACGATGACTATTGCATTTCTGAGAGCCGTGGAATCGTCCACAAACAATTTCTTCCACCGGGGCAACCCGTAGATCGAGTCTACTATCGCCAAGTGTAGAAGTATTTGGTTTCTAAAGGGATCGCCGTGATGCAACTTGTGTGACTTAATTTTTGTTCACTAGAACAAAATCAGTGATCAGTGAGGAACCTATTTTGGGTCAAAGGAGGTCATCCAGGCGGCCTTAATGAAGGTAATCGCTGACATCCCAGCCGAAGCGCTGTACAAATACTACGAGGCATGGAAAACGATCAGAAATCGTTGTATAGCTGCCCAAGGGGACTACTTTGAAAGGGATGGCAAAGTTGTAGAATAATTTTGAAATATACGGTTTTCTGGAATCAGTTTCATTGATTAAATGTTACACCTCGTACATATATGAACTAACATATTTGAAAGTTGTGTTGTTAATATGAAATTGCGATTTAAACACAAATGAAATGTAATATAATTTTCACAACGTGAAACACGTTTTACATATGATCGTTCAAACTTGCTAAATTATATATATAAAATTATAACTTCGAATTTATTGAATGTATTTTATATATTTGTAATACATATGAATTTTATATCCATGAAAACAGACAGTGAAGTCGACGTGGATTCTATTTTAAAATTGACAATTGAATAGGAGTTTACACATCCGAACACATACACACACATATGTCCGTAGTACGGATATGGATTGAACAGATAGGAGAAAACGCATAAATAGTTAACTGGAATGAGATACACAAATTCAATTGTTCAAAACAAATGAGCCCCTGATTTTGAGTGGTTTAAGTAAAAAATTTTGAAATACTAGTTTATCAGCTACATATCAAATTCTAATAAAATAACACGATCTGAAGAGATTAGCAGTATGCCAAGAAAAATACCTCAATAAAATGTTTTTATTTTTTCAATGGTAAATAAAATAAAGTTACTGTTTGACGTGCTTTTTGATATAATCAAAAGCTACAGACGAAACTGGTCGACCACGAACCGAAGAACCTGCCAACGGGCACAACAAAGAAGCAGGAAAGGCTAAACCCAAAACGAGGCCCAAGAGGCTATCAGAGGCGGTAATCATCAAGCCTGCAGAGGGAAAAGGCTATGCAGAAGTACTCCAAAATATCAAGGCAAAATTAAAACCAGACAAGATACGTGGAATATGGAAAACAAGAACGGGCGCCATCCCTAAAGGGATCCGCATCAGTAGCTGACCTAAAGTCAAAAGCTGCAGTGAAGATCAGAGATATCGAGTCCTTAACAACAAAAGAAGAAATCCTGGAGTCAGTACATCAAGTGCTGGGAGAGCCCTCCCAACAGTAGGAAGCAAGTAAGAGCATATGTAACCTTGTCGAATGAAGAAGCCGATAAGCTAATAAAAAAGGCTCGAATTAAAATTAGTTGGATCAACTGTAGGCTACGGCTCAAAGAAAGTATGAAGAGATGCTTCCACTGCTTCGGGCCCGGGCATTCAACAAGGACCTGACGGAAAGGAGCAAGGATTATGCATAAAGTGTGGCAAAGCAGGACAAAGCCTGAAAGAATGTCTTAACCCCTAAAATTGCTGCTTGTGTAAGGAGGC